GGCTGCTGTCCTGTAACTTGGGGCAAGGATTTTCTTTTTCCATTGGTGCATCTCAGAATTGAGAAAGGGTCCAGTATAAAAGATGACCCCTCAATACATATTGGTACAATGAATAAATGGACACAGTAAAATTTTGAATGACATGGCTCCTTCATAAATGCTACATGACTGATAAGAATTAACATTATCGAGTAAGTAACCATTGAGCAAGTTACTACCGCCTTCAACACTAAACAGTCAGAAATTATCAAAAGAGAATCACTCTCTGTAGGATTGTTTTTCTCAACACATAAAAACACTGACAACATTTGATAAGGATTTACATTATCTAATAATCCCAAAATACCGAGGAAAGATTAACTACAATTACTCTGGCAAAATGTGTAATGAAAGTAAGATGCTTGTTTTCATGTATGATATAATAAGAATTTGAAGAAAATAAATTATTTAAATAAGCATATAAAAATAAAAATGCAGGAAAGTCATAGGCTGAGAGTGGTAAAGTTAATAGATACGATTATTTACATAGTTCTTCTAAAACCCAAAGATATACACAAAATCTCATTCACATTCACACAAGTTCAATTGGTTGACATTTTGAAGAAAACAGAACAAGTAAGGGTATCTTAGAGATCCAGTCACAGATAAAACAAACGATTACTGTAGCTACTCATTTGAGTTTTTGATACTACCACATATAAATGTCTTATACCTTAAACAGAGATGTGGAATATATAATAAAATACACAGCTGATTTTGTAATGACAATTTCAGAACTAGAAACAAATTTTTGGTATATCAATTCCAAAGTCTTCAAAACCACCTACATGGTCCACTTACATTACTGTTGCTGCAATGCAGGACCCTTATATTTAACAAATAAACAAAAAATTATTTAGACTATGTCTTTTTAAAAAATAAGAAAATTGCCAAGAAATCATGTATTCAAAGTAAATACTTCTTAATTTTACCTAATTCTACCAATATTCAAGTTTTAAATTTGCGACGTAAGTGTCTCACATGAAATTTGGGTGACTGGATTGAAACAGAACTGAAATCTTGTTTACATGTCCAAACAGAATACTATCTCTTTTAAAATTCATTTCTTTAATTCAGAAAGATAAACAGTAATTCTAAGTTAAGATTTTTAAAAACAGTCAACAAAATATGATACCTGTTGCAGAGGGAGGAGTTAGTAATGGGAATGGTGATTAAAGCCATAAACAATATACTTCAAAAATCTTTTTTAATGTGCATTATGAACTCTGGCTAAATTACTTTAAGAAACATAGTATCCTCCACCTAGAAAATATAGACTTCTCTTACTGAAAACTATCATAAAACAAAGTACATACTTCTAATTCTACCAGATAAATAAAAATATACTCAAATATTAAGTTTCAACCTAAAATCCTTAGAAATATTGATAATATAATTATGGTTCTTAAAGAAAAAGATAAGAGGTCAAATAATATTTCCAAGATAACAGAGTACCATCATTGAGCCTTTAAATATTATTATAAAATTCAAGCTTCAATCATTAATGTTGTTATTCAGTAACCAAGGAAACAAAAACTTCAAAATATTTTTCCTAGTTAGAAGACAGTACTTTTGATATAAAAATATGAGCTAATAGAACTTACAATGTATGAATCTAGCTTTTAAAGGTCAGATATTATTTTAAAAGATCAGATGCTATAAAAATAATGAAATTCTTCATTATTTCCCCAGAAATGACATTCTATAAATTATCTGACCATATTCAACTGGAAAATTGTGTGCATAGTTCATTTTACATAACTGGGAAAAACAGTATGTCTAAAAATTGTTTCCTATTTTTTTAAATTTAGTAATGAATGGTGCTGGAAAAGAAATAATGCTCTTGTAAAATATGAAACTACTTTCAATGTATTTAATCATGACATGTTTACAATGAAATCAACCCATACTGGGCTATTCACCATTAAGGGAAGGACTTGCTACTATAAAACTGTTTGCTACTCCTCCCAAGTAAGTCCATCTATAAGTATCTATGAATTAAATACAGGGAAACATTTAAACTGTTAAATCTTGGAGTTAGGCATTTGGGTGTCCATTATTTTATTCTTGAAAATAAGAAGCCTGACTTCTTAAATTATTGCTACCCTCTCAAATAATTTAACATACATTAGATTATATAAACAAAACTCTTAACAAATACAAAACATTTCAATACCACCATACTCTCCAGGAAATATCCTCTTATTTTTGTAAAATAATGAGTCCCTTTTTAGAATAACCAGTTCAATTTGACAATTTCTAACTTTTTAAAGGTTTGAACATAATTTGATCACATTCCTTCACAAACCATTTCCTTTCAATCACACATTTATGTTCTTTTTCTCATTTGGAATCTAGGTTGTAATTATTAACCTAAATCCCACTTTTTAATTAGCGACCATTAATCAACCACACTGATAGTTAGCAATTATTACAGACATCACATATAAAATCAAGTTACTGAATCAACAAGTGTAAAATGTAAAGGTATAATTTCAATTACCATGTGAGAAACATGATCCAATGTTTGTTACTGTCCTTGATATTTGTTTCTATTAAATGGTGATTCCAGCTAAAACAGACATTTTCCTTAATATTAGTAATACATTAATATATTTAATTTCTCCCATTGAATGCTCAGCACTGATTTTAAGTAGAAAAATCCAAAAACTCAAGAACAAATTGAGCTTTATGAAATACAAGTGAACCTCAAGTTCTTTAAAATCTACATCTGCCCAGACAAAAATCCATTTATTTTCAAAATAACAAAAAGGGGAAATTCTGACAAAACACTGCTAAAATAAAATAAAACAATTAGGAAAGTGGATATTCCTTTATTTTGTGCACAATTACATGTTAACAGTATATGAAACCTAAGTCCTGCAGACTTTAAACTCAGTGTTTCAAATCATGACACAAAAAGAAACATAATATTGTAGTGTTATAGAATTAAAATTGTTCCTATTACCTTGTTATGGAAAGAATTATGGTAGCATGTACAACAAATCCATACTTATTTAGAAAAGCTAATACTATTCTTTATTTTTATATCTACCACTTTTGAGCAAGTGACATTCAAATATATTCCCTGGTATACTAATTCACAAGAAAAAATACTGACTGAACCAGCCACAAAGTTTTTAACTACACAAAACACTAAAAACTGAATAACTAGTTCACAGATGCTCCACTTGACTGTCACTCAGAAGCTGACTGCTCCCAGGGTACACTTGGTAAGTACTGGAACAAGGATTTTCTTGATGCAGGGGAAAGCTGTGTAGAACTCTGTTCTTGGAGCCAGAGTTGAGCCGGACACTAGAATGTTCAGGAAATTAGGACATCTCTTTGTGCACTGGCTTTCAAATGTTCTTGAATCAATCTTACAGAATGTCACAGCCTTGGCCAAAGATAGCTTGGTATTAACATCAAAGGATTCTCCCCATCTTAATTCAGCTTTGAAGGAAAATACAATGCTCAAGATTGCCTAAGGATTATATATAGATGATGGGAAAGATACATATACGTACAATAGATAAATTAAAAATTATAGCTACTATTAAAACTCCCCATGGTGCAACTAATGTAACAAGTTACAACAAATCTCACTCCCTGCCAACTCATACTCATGGAAAACATGATGAGCAGTCAGTGACTACTGTTTTACAATCCCCAAAGCATGTTAATCAAAGATTTTGTTTAAAAAAAAAGCCAGAATATTACAAATTTTAGGAAATAATTCCATCCATATTATCTAAAAAAATAGCACCTGAAGTAGAAAAATACATAAGAAAAATCTAATTGGTACAGAAGAATTCATCTCAACTATGTTTTACACCCAGCTACTTTTATGCAAGATTTTAAATAATTAACCAAATGTCTGTCTTTCCAAAGAATGCCTTCTAGCAAAAGCAGAAACCGTGTCAAAAATGAGAGGTAATATTTACCGTGTTCATCTAAGAACAGCACATTAATCTTCAGAAAAATGCTAGAAGCATGATATAATAATACAGTGAAATGTTATACGACAAATAACTATGCTATGATCGATGGCTGATGCACTGCATTTGTGGTGTAACTTAAATATAGGATTATGTAAATGTAATTTTAAATTAAACATAATTAACATACAAAATTTTAAGTATGGTCAGGACTTTGCTTCGGAATAAAAATTATGTGATAAAATCAGTTTCTTTCTACTACTGCAAAACCAAACTTGAACTAACACATTCGATAGAGAGATACAATCTTATTTCATGACCCTAGCCATTCTCAAATTAATTGTTTTTTGAAATCACCACTTGAACTGTATTCCTTGGAGATAAGCATACCTAGCCTGTCAGACAAGTTTTACTGCAGAGACTTAACAAATTAGAGGAAAATATTTACAACACTAAAGAGTCAGGCCATATTTAGTACTTCTAAAACTCAACATTCTAAAGAAATGCCTAATTTCTCCAAATCACACAGCAAAGTCTCACTTAACATCCAACCTAACAGTATTGCCTAATTTTGAAGAAAACTTATAGGGTAAGATCAAGATATTGATTCCAAATAAATGACGGCAGAAAATAGACATTATCTTACAAGGAGGAGATTTGCCTTCAAACGGTTTTTTTTTTTTTTGGTTTTCAAGATTCAAAAGATTTATTTGGAAAAATCAGCACAGGACAAAGATATCCTTAATATTCCTTCAGAATCTATATGAAATGTAGACAGCAAATCTGATTTCACAGAACATCAACGGTTTATACAAATGTAAACTCCCATACCCACCCCTCCCCAAGGTAAAACTCTATCTACCCACTGCTTGACTGACATTAGCTTTTACTAAGCTTCTACAGTACTACTTGCACAACTAAAAAGCAGAAAATCATTTTCAAAGGGCTGGACTTTTGGTTAAAGCAAGCAAGTATTACTGTTACAGTGAAGTTTAGTGTAACTGTAAGAGAATACCACTAACATTTTTAAATTATCCAAAATGATTTCTTTATTGAGTAAGTAACTACACAGATTTCACAGTACTATGGCATACTTATATTTAGGTAAAGTCACACACATTTTAACATTCACAATGATGAGCATCATCATTACCATTCTAATCTACAAAGCTTATGAATAAAGAAAAATACAAAAACCTCAAGTTGTACAAAAGAAAAACTTTAAAGTCTGCATACATTAACAATAAAACCATTTCTTCCAGGTAACAGGTAAAATTGTAAAGGCATACCACCAAATTTTTTTCTCCAGACAGCCAGGAATGAAAGAGCTTTTAATATCTACGACGCTTATTAGGGCCTTCAAAGTTGCCCCCTTGGCTTCCTCTACCAAAACCACCAGGACCACCACTAACAGGACCTACACCACTCATTGGTGCTTGAGGGGTTTCAGAACCTGCTCTACTACCCATAGGAGATCCCATCTGTGATGGTGGTCCTTGCGGAAATCTATCATTGTGCTATAATACCATATAATAAATATGAAGTCCATTTGGAACACGCCAAATATAAGTGACAAGAAAAATTGGCAAAATCCCAAGTGGTGGTGTCATGAAGTTCAGCAGAAAGTCCAGCAGAATCAGGATCACACATAGAAGGAAGAAAGGAGCAATTTAATTAGTTACTATGTTAAAAAAAAAAAAAAGCATCTGAAGAGTTACATATTGCTAATGCTATGCCCCATTTCATGAAAAAAACAAAACGAACTTATTTTTATGAAGTGAATGCCATCTTAAACCAAACTGGTATTATAATACTCTTCTTATCTCTCTTTTTAAAGTTTTTATTGTATGTAACTGTGCTGTGTACTAAAAATACTTTTTAAAAATGAGAGCTAAAACAGGATCATCATCACATTATCTGAAAAAGTAAAATTTTACAAATTTCAACAGCAATGCTTTTAACGTAGAAGTACTAGCATAAACACAGTTATAATCCCAAAATGAAAACTTTTGAGGTGTTTTTCTGGAAAAACTATATTATCAGGAAAATTGAGTCTTTAAAATTGACAGTTTGTCAACATGTACTATTTACTAATAGCACAATTAGATATCTGAATGATGTATTTTGAAAAAACTTCACAATGATAACCACATATATTAATCTCAAAGGTTGAATTAACTTCCTATGTAGAAGTAAAATGTCAGTGTGAAAAAGACCAAGGTTGATATTTAGATAAAGTTTACAGTGGGAAAAATGGGCCAGTTAAAATATTATTTCTAAATTACTACATAGATGATTATGGACTACACAATTTAGCCAAAATAGTGCAAATCTTTACTAGCTTTCAGACTTCAATGGAGGACACAAGTACACTAGTTAATTACATTATGTGCCATCTGATCACAGTAGTCATGGCACTGCCTCTATCTCCTTGTATAATCATGCATTAAAAAAAAAAAAGTTTAGCATGTCCAATTTTTCCAAATTCTTAATAGGATTGCACTTACATAAATGTTACGATAAAACATTACATCCATCAGTTCCCAATTATCTCCCATCTCACTTTCCAATTATCTCTGAGATCAGGATGGATTTACAGCTGATGGCATACCTGAGTTTAACTGACAGTGCTGCTTCTTTCTTGGCAGCAATGGTGCCTTAAGATTTGATGTGGTAGATTTAAAACTAAACTGCCTTTTCGAAATATATCAATCAATTTTCCTTTTCAAAGTGTCAACGATTAACAAAAACCAAATGAAAACATATTTTGCCAACATAAAGCCTCATTTAAAGATGACTAAGGGAAAATGAAAAAAGGTATCAGTCTTGCTACTGATAATCAAATACAATGAAAGTTACAACTGAAAAATGTTGTTTTTATATTTAACCCACACAAAGATATCTTCACACTCTCAAACCAAGACATAAAAATTGTCTACTTTAAATTTAGTAACAAATGCAATTAGTAGTCCTATAATGCAACAACGTAAATTTAAAGTATACTTTAAAACTTCAACATAAATTATTTTACAGTTAAAATGAATTCTCTGAAATTAATGATAAACAATCTTTTTACTAAAATGTGTGTCTTCAAATATACTGGAGCTTTGTCCCTCAACAAAGGTAAGGAGTCCTCACAGGAAAAGAACACAATTATAAAATATTTGACCATTCATTATATTGAATGCTGAGGTGAACACAAAAGCACTGAAAAAAATAACTTTAATTAACATATGTATTTGCTATATACTGAAGTACAAAAAAGCATGCTATGGATGGTAATCCTAACTCGGGATGCTTAAAACTTGCCTCTCACAAATGAATACATGACTTCACCAAAGTACTTGTTCTTCATTGGATACTGATCTTCACTGCCAAAACAAATGACGCCAAACTATGTTAAGTGTGAAGTTACCTTTGGGGCAGAAGTAGGTATTAATAAATATAATCAAAATAATGTTTATGATACATTACCACTGTTCCATTATCTGGCATCATTGGAGTTCCCATATTTGCAGCTCCTTCTGGTCCCATGGCAGGACCAGGACCCATTGGTGGGCCAGGTATAGTTCCTCTGTTGTTCATATTCATACCCATCATTGGAGGAGGACCTTGGTTACCAGCAGGTGCTGGGCTAAATGCATCTACGCAAAACAATCTGTACTTAGAGCTGTCCTATCTTAGTTTAGTAAACATTAAAAACTTAACAGTACTTATGCAATCTATATAGCAAGTTTACCAAAATCATTTTTCTTCCTTAAGAATGGGACACTCAATTTTCTACTCTGTAGTCAAGTAGGACCTAAACTATAAAATTTTCATCCCCAAAACAAATGTACATAAAACAAGTGAGTCAACTATCAATTGTTTTAGGACAAAAGAGACTGTAAAAACTTGAAGTTTTTCAAAAACTCAGTACTATTTTCTATTGTCTACTTTTTAACAAAATACTTCCTTTAAAATGGCAACCAGACTGTACCAGCTTAAATTAAAACCAAAGGATCAGCCCTTAGGAAAACATTTAATTTCTTAAAGTCAAGGCTAAAAATATTATCATGTGAACTGAATTAAGTTGTAAAAGGAAAAAACACTTCTGTGTGTGTATATATATATATATGTATGTACATATATATAAAACATATATACATTTATTCACTGTAACTAACCTCTCAACTTTTATAGTTACTGAACATCTCCCAAAAACTATAGGAAGTAGTTTCTTAAATTTATGTAAAAATATGCAATCTCAACAACTGAAAGGAATCATGACAAAATTTGTTTTTAAAAGCAACTTCAACCAATCACAGATAAAATATTAATACGGTTATTTTAATTTTTCAACATGCTGAAATTCTAGAAATGGCATCAAGTATACTTCAAATTTTTCATCAAAGGTATACATCTGCCTCATGTTAGAGCTATAATACTTATACTTACAATGGCCTCAACTAAGACATTTTTAGATATCTTCTTTAATTTTTTTTCACTTTAAAGTACTCATGCATTTATCATTCAAAATTCATTAAAAGAGACTGACTCCAACTTAGAGCTTTCCTCTAGGTTTTCATTATGTAGGTCAATTTTATTATACTCAAAATTCAACCTCTCAAAAACACATTATAACAGGAGTTGAAGTTTTCATTCAAACCCACTACACAGCATGTAGAGCAAATGTAAGCAAATGAACTCTACATATGGCTAAGTCCAGGTAGCAGCTGAGGGAAAGAAGTTTTACTTCTTTCCAGTCCCTGGCAACATGCCATTGCTCTTCTTAAAGCCAATGCACAGGAACCTAGCAACTTCATAGGAAAGGAATTAATTCTTTAATATCAAAATGTTCTTACTAATAAATTCGCACTGTCCAAGAATATTTTTATTCCCTTAGCATATAGCTATAAATAAAAAAATTTACCAGACTTCCACAACATCTCCCACAATGGAAATGAGGAAGGGTAGAGACAGTATCTAGGAGGACTCTTCCCTCAATTTTCCTCTAAAGAACAGATCAAGGATTCAGGTTTTTATTCTCTATTTAATAGAACATGGCTGTTACACCTAACTTGTGAGATTCAAATACAACTATACAACTATGGGTATAATAAAATAAACCAAAAATAGTCATTTTCGATTATAAGTAGTTGAAGTAGTCTTATTTTTAGTAACTATATTATCCACCACATAGCTATTAAACTAAATTTAAAGATCTAACAAATTTTAGAATTCTCTGGTCCTCTGAAAAGAAGTTTTATAATCTATGTTTCACAAGGTACATTACAATGGTCCAGAAACTCTACTGCCACATTCCATCAATGTAACTTGATAAGACAATTTACTGACTCAAAAGCAACATTCAACTGCATGATAATGACTCATAACTCCAGTAAACTGCTTGGATAAAGTCTCACATTGAATAAAATGTAAAGAGGAGAAAATTAAATGGTTTGAACTTTAGAGGAGTTAAGCGCTCACATGTATATGGTTCTCTGGTGAATAAAATGACATAAAATGTTTTAATTCTCTTAAATTCCTAATTAAACAAGGACTCTTAAGGGCATATTCTCCTAATTCTTTGGATAAAGATGACTATCAAGCAGTCAATCAATGTTTTCAGGGTCTCTGCAACATCAGAAAAATCTCAAGTTTGGTTCTGACGTTAATGACAATCTAATAATTACAACAGAATTTCAAACTACCTACAATTCTTAACAATCTTACACTTACAATCCTTAAAACTGCCTGGGTTATATTAAACACCACCCCACAGTTTACTTTAAAAGACATAAATACTGAATTACTCAACTGCGCTTCACAGTTTAGAACTTGTGTACTTTTTGTTCACTAATTACTCGTGATCTGTCTTAATAACTTCACAATTAAGTTCTTTATGGGAAAGGGCCATGTTTCATGCTTCCTTTGCACACCCGAGATACTTGGTAACTTCTTTTCAGTAGCTCAGGAAAGTAGCCAAGTAAACAGCAATCAATAATTTTAGATGATCTGGTTCGTGGTGGCAAAAAAACTGGCAGGAGAGGTAGAGATGAAAAGGCTCATCTTGGAAAAATGCTCATTCCACCTATTAGATGCATTAACACTTTTTATTCCAAACACTGTATGTTCTAAGTACAATCTGGATTTTCTCAGTGGGTGTGCATTTCATGTGTATTATAATGCACAGATCAATGTAAACTTTACAACAATATGTACATTTGAGTTAGGATTTTACTTCATGACACCTTCTGTTGGGACCATGTGAAATGAGTATGTAAAATTTACCTAATTTTTAAATGAATATCTCCAATAAGACCTATGAAGACAATACATTACACACTTTTTCCTTCAACTTATTTACTTGATACTTTCCCTGACAATACAGCCAATCAAGTTTAAATAGGCACTTTCTAAAAAACTTTATATCAACTCTAAAGATACGCATCAGCCTAAGTGTGCAAGACACATCTCATTTCCTTGTCAAGTTATGGATGCCTCCGGTGCATTTCTGTGCATAATACTGTAGGTTAGGGCAAAATAAGGAAAACAATCAGCAAAACAAAAATAGCTTCGAAGTTATACAAAAGAGAGAAATTATAAAACCCTCTCAAAAAGCTTAAAAACACTGGAACTCAGAAACTACCAAATTTCCAAGGTAAAAAAGCCAATTTTAAGGCACGAAATTTGACTTTTAAAAATGCAACAATATAGCTATATTATAATGAAAAAGTTCCAAATTGTACCAAAACCTGGTTACAGGTTTCTTACATTAAATCTATTAAGATAAAATATATCTTTTTAGCCCCCAAACAAAATGATAAATGTTCTTACATATGTGTTTATTATACCTTTTTTTCCCAATTTAATAAATACTGGTTCCAAATATTATTGTGTTACTGATATGTAGGTACCACAAATAGCATGTACAGTTCCCCAAAGAATTACAAGTAAGTTACAGAAGCCTTTTGCTTCAAATCCCTACCTCCCATGTTTATTGCTCCACGGGGACCCATATCACCCATTCTCATTTCCTGTTCTCTCTGTAAGTAAACATAGTGGTCACAGTCAACCTATCGATCTTAACGACTTTACATTTCCCATCTAAAATCAAAAAGAAAAGAATAAATTGGGATATCACTTTCCATTAAAATTTTTTTTAATTTTCCAAACACCGTATACTTAATAAGAACACCAAATAAGAAACTTCAGTTTCCCAGGCTTGATATATACAAGTGCTTAGAGTGCCCAGTTTATAATTCCTTGATTATCAATGAAAGATTACATAAAATCTACTAAAAATAGCTTTAACATTTTTACTCCAATAGATCAAAGATTGCAAAAATTACCTAGATTGCAAGAAAATAAGTCTAGTAATAATAACTACCAAGGCAAATTACCTCTTCCTCCCAGGTCACTAAAGTCTTAAAACAGAAATGACAGTTAACCATTTTTATATTCAAATGTATTCAAACGTAGATACAACATATACAGCTATGGGGGTATAAACTAAAAATAAAGTTATAGACAATTTTAATTTTTGAAATATGATAATACATCTCTGCATTTTTATTCAAGTATTCAAGCATTATTAACCTGTGACCTACTGACACACACACAGAGGTAATTATTGAAAGGCTGACATAACATTGCCTCCCTTAGGGTTTTACTGGGAAACCTAAATAAAAATGTTATTACACAGTTGGCCAGTTCTGAAACAAAATGCTCTTAAGGTTAACGATGACAACAAAATGGTCATACAATGTACAAAATGTGTTAAATTTCAGTACAGACAGTGCTTCTTAAAAACTCATCATTTATTTAAATAGTTATACAGAATTAATTTCAATGCAATCTTAAGGTGTAATTATCCAACATATAATTGAAATTTGCACTATTTTATGATCTCCAGTTTAGACAAGTGTGTTCAAGGTAGTAATCAAACATTCTGAGATAAAATAAGGTCTAAATCTAAAGGGAACATTATTTTCCTAATTATAAAAGCAATTAAAATGTATTAAAAATCATTTGATTAAAATTTCACTTAACACAAAATACTGGCAAAAAGCACCTATAAAGCTACAAATAAAGAAAATAAAAGCCTGTGATGGATAAATGCCACTAAGCAGTAAATCAACTGTACATCTAACTAATGGGGATGCTTCAAAAGGTATCTTAGTGAAGCTACAGTACAAGAAAAACACCACTTACATAGCATCATGAAATGCTCTGTCAACTTATTTTTAAAATTTAAATCCCAGTATTTTCTCAAACCTATTTAATTTTCCTAAAAATAAACGTGCCTCTTCTCATAAAACTTTTGACTATTAATGGATACTACTTTCGACCAGCAAAAAGGCTGGACTACTTTATAAAACTGATCACTGATGAGCCCATAAATTTCCCAATTATATGGAAAATACTATTTTGTAATAACACTTAACACTGTTATCAGTATCAAAACAAGTTGTCATTTTCTTATTACTAGAACCTACACTAGATACAGTATGGACTGCTTCAGCATACCCACAATCTTCCAGGTTTTATTTAAAGCATATACTTGTTACTGAAAGCCGATTGCATTTCAGCACCACAGGGTGAACCACACAGATTTTATGATTGTGACATTTTTGGAAGACAGGGCATAAATTTATATTTTTACTTTTGTATGTGCCCTAACTATGGAAGATTAAGAATATGACATCTAACCACCAACAGAGGATAATTATTATACTCTGTCTGAGGCTTCTATTTTCAAACCCCCCTTATATACTGTTACCTAAGCTGGATGCCTATGATTCACCAGTGGTGGGAATGGGGACAGACAGCCTCTCATATTGTCTCTTTGTAATTTCAACTTTACCTATCACTTTCTGAAATAACAGTGTTTATTTGGCTATTGTCCAGAAATTAAGTACTTATGTTTAATTGCTCTTAAAATATTCTATTATTCCATTTTTTCATTAACAGAACTTTATGGAAAATATAACATACTAAAGAGATTTAAGGCTTAAAGTTAACTATTCAACAGTGACCAAACACTCCCTTTCTGGTGCTCTATTATAGAACCGGTTCCAATTCTAACATCTTTAATATGATTATCAGAATGTCTTACGGTAATCCATTCTATGTAGCATATCACTGTTAAAATACCATTTCATGTTATATGCTATAGCATTTTCCACTAAATATATGTTCACTCAATTTATTCAGTTATGTCCACATTTCCTTAAATTGAGTACTATTTTATACAGCTATACTTTTAAGATTAAGAAAAATAGCATAATTAGATGACAGACCATTTTTAATCTATTTTAAAAGTAAAAGAAGTTTCCAGTTTCCTAGTCATGTCTTAAGGTTACTGTAACTTTCTATAAATCCACTGGTACATACTTTCACTAAAATTAGAGGCAGAGATAATATGTAAAGGTAGTTTAATGGAAATTAAGACCGTATTTCTTATTATAACTTGATATATAATGAAGAGAATCACTCAAAGTTCACTATTACTGTGTATCCACCAAAAAGCAATACACAAGGCCCTCACTTCTCCTGAGTTACTTCTAATGTACTTTAAATTTGAACTAGTATATATGTGATATTTTTAAAATACAAATTTTAATGATGCTTTAATTTTTCAAAAATTAAGAGTTGTGGTTTGACATGAAACTTACATGTAAACAAAATCTCTAAAACTACAATGCAGTAAAATGATAAAGCTGTGAGAACATAGTCTTAATTCAATTAATCTTCACAGCAACCCTATGAAGCAGGTCTACTGTTACCCTATTTTAGAAATCATAAAACTGTGGCACAGAGCTGTTAAATAACTTACTCCAGGTCATAACTACATATAGTAAGTGGTTGGGCTGACCTATAAAATTCTGCCAGAGTTCATAAAATTCCCATATTCACAAAGCACCTTCACTTTTCAACAATTCCAACAGAAATTAACAAGAGGCAAGATTTTAAATATATTTTTAGGATTTATAAGAAAATGTGCCTTTCCATTAAAAGAATTATGCAGTATATGCCTAAAATCTTGTCACTGAAATATGCTTAAATTCACAACCGAACAAAAAAGTAAACAAAGTCTGGCTTATTTGTTGAACCATACATCAAAGCAGCTTTTCATTAAAAGAACAAGTCTCAAAAAGCATGGCTCATGGAGTATTACGAGTACCCAAGACTCTTTCAGGAAATGCACAATTCAAAACTATTTCATGTCTTATCAACATTAAAACAGTTATAATACTACAATCTAATTGGGCTTTTCACTCTATTGACATTTATGTGGATAGGTGGTGGGCAAAAATCCTGGTGCTTTACCACAAACCAAGGCACTTGCATCCAGTTCTTAACAGTAATCATGTATTCTTCACAATAGCAGTTAAAATTTTTCAACTATTAATACCTGGATGAAGCAGTGAAAATTTTATTAAATCACGATCCTTGAGCACATCTTAAAAACAGGCATACCTCATTTTATTGCATTTCACAGATACCACGGTTTTTATAAACTGAAGGTTTGTGGCAACACTGTGTAGGAAAAGTCTATCAGCTCCATTTTTCCCAACAGCATTTGCTCACATGGTATCTCTGTGTCACATTTTGGTAATTCTCACAATATCTAGAACTTTTTCATCATTATAGTTGACATGGTGATCTATGATTACCACTCACTGAAGGCTCATATGATGGTTAGCATTTTTTGACAATGAAGTATTTTTTCACTAAGGTATGTACACTGTTTTTTTAGACATAACATGCTTGCAATTTAACAGACTACAGTATAGTGTAAACCTTATTTTTATATGCAGTGGAAAACCAAGAAATTTATTTGGCTCACCTTATCACAATAAAGTGATATTAACTTTTATTGCAGTGTCTGGAACCAAACCCACAGTATCTACAAGACATGCCTGTAATTCTATGCAACAAAACAGGACATATATGTATATATTAAAGCACTTCTGCTACATTCTGAAGTAGACTGACTATTTCAAGAACAACCATTCCTGTGACTGAGTTCCAAACTGAGTGAGACCCTTTTTTGGGAAACAAGATTTTTACTTGCGACAACTTTTGACAGACAAACTGATTACTTATTTATATGTACAGGCATCCCCTGCTTTTTCAAAGTTCGTGTTACTGCACTTTGCTTTTTACAAGACATACATTAGTCCCTGTTTTCACTAACCAAAAGAAATCCGAAGAGATTTTCAGTTTTACAGAAAAAAGCGAAAAATGAAAATCGCATTCAGCATTTGTCTTCAAGCAAGCCCTTACAGACACAGCAGACTCCCAGTGCAGGGAGAGTAGCACTGCCAAGCTCTTTCCCTGGGAATTACACTCAGCATCAAGCAGACACAGCTTTTAACTGTGTCTGTGAATACCTGTGCTTTGTACTGATTTATTCTATTGTATCTTTTAGCAAGCAAGATGTGTTCTAAGGTATCAGAGACGCATAAGAGGTTATTTCTTAGGTTTGGGAATGCTCAAGATTTTTTCATATAGATTAACAGTAGTTGCTTCTTTGCTTTTCGTCATTTCAGCTTACAAAAGGTGTCACAGGAACGCTCTACTTTCAGACAGCAGAGGAGATCTGTATTTGTCAGACTTTCTGACAAGATCAGCAGTTAATACTAAGAAATGTGATTTGTTTTTAATTTGGAAGATTTGCATAACTCAATGGATTAACATTTTTCTAATGTTTGGTACATGACATTACAAAATCATGCATGATTAAAGTCCATTCAAGTTCAAAGTAGACCAATGAATTATAATGCAAAAGAGTGGTTTTAAGAAACTCCTGCTTATCAAGTTTTACTGCAGTATCAAACAAGAATATCTACACTTAAAACTGAAAAGGTTAAAATATATTCATCACTATTTACTAATTACTTCATGTGAAGCCAGATTTTCTTCATATACTTTAACCAAAAGAGCATTTTGCAACAGATGGAGTGAAGAAGCAAACATAAGCCAACAATTTATAAGAGAAAAACACTGAAAAAAATCTACGTAACACTGAAACAATTCC